CGACCTATGTTTGTTCGTTATTTAATAACTTTAGGAACCTTGCTATTCTGTAATGAAAAAATCAATCAAAGGTGGAACCTTGATCAAAGGTGGAGGTCAAAGTTAGGTTAGGAATTGAAATGTTTGAAGAAAATCGACAAGCATTTTGAGCAGTTGCCAACACGTTATAAATGTTTCAAACATCTGCTGAAACAGCTGACATTTACAAATTATCACCAACATTTCTTTGCTGGAACGGAAATTTGTCATTGCGCATGTCACAAGTTGCTGCCAACATTTCTGATAGCCTGCTGGAACAAATCTATTATTATAAGCTATTTTTGTATTTATTTTCCAGAAATCACTGATCAATGAAAATGATATGTAATGACAGGATTGTCATCTGAGAATGTTTAAAGGGGGTGTGCGCGAAAAAAACAACTTCATCTCAAAAAAAAGAGAAAAAAAATCTAAGAATAACTGTGAAATCCGCACCCCTCTATGACCAATAATACCGCAGATATGGCTCTATGAAGGTACCGCATCTCACCCTATGACGTCACGAGAGCTCAAGCGACCCACGAGAAAGTGGAGTTAATTATATTTACATACAGTGAGGACATAAAGTCCGTCGCCCCCCCTCTAACTTTTGAACCGCTCGGTATATTGCAACGAAATTTGGAATGATGATATGTGAATAGATTCTCCATTTTTTGGAAAACAAATGACAGCTTCAGCTGTCAAAATGACAGCTAGTTTTGATACGTTTTTTTAAATAGAAGGCGGTGTCGAATGATATATCGTTTTGAAGGTCTCTTCATTCTAAATTTAATCCCTGATTCTGAAAACATTTGGTTTAGCGGTTTTCAAACTATGACGAAAAAACCAAAGCTTGTTTTGCTCATAAACACTCATAAAAAAAAAATTAAAATTTTTTATTTACGACTAATGTATAATGTGCGTATTATATTTGTGATTTTGGCAGTATAATGACATATGTTATTCCTCCAGGGATTAATGACGAGCAGCAGGATTAATGGTCATTATTCCACAAAAGTGTCAGTGTCAAACGTGTAGTGCTTGTGGATTTGTATTGAAAATTATGAGACGGATGAAATTTGTTCATTGAAAATCTCAAATAAATTAATTTGTCGTAAATAAAGTAGAGTATACTACTCGCAATAATGGCTATTATTCCCTCGGAATGTTACTCCCTCGCCGCTAACGCGGCTCAGTTCGTAATAATCCTCGGGAATAATAGCTATCATTATTGACTCGTGGTATAATCTACTATTTTATCGGTTTTTTATTCATTATTTAAGTTACCAATGTCATGACGTCATTATTATTACTGAAAAAAAGACAATAATGAATAAAAAAGCGATCCAAATTTTTTAATTTTTTTTTTTCATGAGTGTTTATGAGCAAAACAAGCCTTTGTTTTTTCGTCATCATTTGAAAACCGCTAAACCAAATGTTTTCAGAATCGGGGATTAAATTAAGAATAAAAAAACCTTTAAAACGATATATCATTCGACACCGCCTTCTATTTAAAAAAACGTTCCAAAACTGCACCTAGCTGTCATTTTGACAGCTAAAGCTGTCATTTGATTTTCAAAACATGGAGAATCTAGTCACATATCATCATTCAAAATTTCGTTGCAATATACCGAGCGGTTCAAAAGTTAGAGGGGGGGCGACGGACTTTATGTCCTCACTGTATGTTTCTCCTGTGTTACCTGCAATAATCTAAACAAAAACCACTCACGCGTGCCGGGAACAGTCAAATTAACAATGCGGAGCGCGGCTGGACGAAGTTTTCGTGACGTCACGAGAGCGTCGTCCACACTTTAAAGCGGTATATCTCAGCGATGGTTTATCGTAGAATAACGAGGTTTGAACAGTTATTCTTAGATTTTTTTACACTAAAACTTTAATTTTTGGCGCACACCCCCTTTAAGGCCCAGTTTCACAATCGTTGGTAACCATAGGGGGTTAGATAACCAGCACCTCTAGGTTACCATACCCTTCCTCCAACGCTTGTTTCACCACGAAAATACTTCCGAAGGTTATGAAACCACTGGTTAGATTTTTATTTTTGCAATTGGCAACAGTTTTTGACAGATTTTGACCTGAAAAGAAAAAGTCAAGCCTCAATACCCTAGAAAGTTCGGTGTTGAGGTAGAATAATAAGGAGGCGAAATGAGGGGAAAAAAGTGTATCCACTTCCGCCATATTGTTACTACACTTTTGTCTGAGAGTCTATATCACTTTTGGGGGGTTACGTTCTGGACCGTTTAGTGGGTGGCTCCTTCTGTCCTTATGCATTTGTAATTACTGTTTGAGCAAATGTATTTCGAACAAATGTTTTTCTAACAATTTTCTGCGACTCATTGCCTACAGACAGACTAGGAGTAACATGCTTGATTATGCTTATCCTGTTGATTACAAGATCAAAAATTCTTAACACTTCTCCGATATATACACAAAGAAAAACATACTTAAAACAAATTATTGTTTCTCGTCTCGCTCATCGAAAACAGGTTAGAAAATCGAAGTTGAACTGAAACAAGATTCTATTAATAACTATATAGCAGACAAGGGTTGCTGTTTTGACTATTCCTTTTAGAAATCTTCTTATAAAACAACAATCTCTGCTGACTCTGCTGCTTCTATACCATTTGAAGTGTTCTGTAATTATCTTATTGTGATTGCCTCGATAAATCTCTAGGAATCACCGGTAGCGCCGTTCGATAATGATTCATGACTAAACTCGTCCAATATTCCAGTCAGGAATCGTCATGAAGTCATGGAGTCAAGGAATTTGTGTGATTTGATGTTATCTACAATATTTTTTACCAATGCCAGTATAATATGTCGAAAAGAAGTAAGATTTTTTTAGTGCTGAATATGCTTTCATGTTTTCTAGGCCCAATCCGGTATTTAAGCTTAAGCGTTTTTTTTTTCTATTGCGTTATAATAATCTACATTTTTAGGAGACCCGTTTTTTTTAATTTTGTTTAAATGTTATCACAAAGTTCTAAATATTTTTTTTTAAATTCATAATCTGAATTTTGATATAAGGGAACGCGTGATGTCATCGACTATAAGTTACACACAATACCACAAGGTGGCGCAGTACCACGCAATATCACGAGATGGCGGAGTATCTGTCATAATAAAATTCCCTGTAGCATTTGGCATCTTTTCTGACCCTGTAATTCACGACAAGTCAATGTTATTATCGTTAAGATTCCATCCATCCATGTGAAAGGATACCTAAGGGCTCAAAGACAGGCATTTTGGGTCTCGAAAAGGCAAGTATTATAGAGTGTGATTATTTGTGTGCAACCTATGGGGATTTTTGTTTAGTAATAGCACAACCCAAATACAAATAAGGCCAAAAGTTGGTGCATGTCACCCAGTATACAGGGTAGCTCAAAAAATATCAAAATTGTACTTTAAAGTAGGTAGGTACCCTTATTTCAGAAAATTCAGCAAAATTTACTTAAATAAAATATTTTTTTTTTCCACTTTAAGGAGAGTTTTTTTCTCGGTTTTTTTAATATGCATATTATCATTCGTAATATTTTAACTTGTTAAAAAAAAGTTGCGACATTTTAAAGTTGTGTTGAATATCATTGCAATAAACATGATGAACTTTGTGATTCCAAAAAAAAATAAAAAATCTAAGTTAATTTTAGAAATATGCTTGAATTTAAACAAAGTTATGTAAAATTGATTTGACTTTAATTAGTTTTTGAAATTATTAAGGGCGAAATAAAAATTTAAAAAAATATAATAATTAATAAAGTTTTTCGAAAAAATCTTAGGAGGCCATGTTTTGGTATTTAGGCATAACTTTTAATTCCAAGCAAGTTTTCTCAATAATATTTTGCTGAATTTTCTAAAATAAAAGTACTTACCAGTATAATTTTGATATTGTTTGAGCTACCCTGTATGCTGTTTGTTTTGCAACCATTCTAAGTGCACCTAATATAATTATCAGACATGCACCAGCTTTTGGCCTTGTTTGTATTTGGGTTATGCTATTACTTAAAAAAATCCTCATATGTTGCACACTTAATAAATAACCACACTGTATATTTGATAACAAAAATAAGATCCTTCAGTGGTGCCATCTGCTGATGATTTTCTCAAATCACCTCCAGAAACGTCAGAATCTTTTGGTGTCTGATTAAATTAGTCCTTTATGAACTTTTTTTTTAGTTACAACGGTTTATTTTGATTGCATAAATTGAACAGTGCAATGAAAATAGTTAAATTTAACTATGCTAAAACACCGGATTACATTGAAACTATTGGCTTCGATTCGGTTTTTTTTCTTATCGTATTTTGGAAGAATTTCCATGTTAAATCTATCCTATTTATAAATATTTATTTTATTCTCATTCAACGAACAAAATTCTGTTCAAACACCTACCTACCTAATATGTTAAACAAAGGAAAACAAAAAGATTTGTTTTAATTAATTTTTCAATGCCATTTATTATGAAGTTTCAAAAGATTTTCTATAAGCAAAGTATGTAGGTACCTACTTCGTGAAAACGTTTTTAATTTTGAAACTCCCACATGCGACTTCAAAACTTTAAAGCCTTTGCGTATTCAAATAAACACCAACGATGCAAATGCTTGTATACAATGTGCTGCTGCTTTTCAATTCACTGTAATTTCATGTGCAACTTTTCTGGAGCTAAGGAAATAAATAAAACAAAAAACTTTCGCCTCTGCTTTTATGCCTGAGTTCAACCTCGACAGAAAAGGTAACATAACATGCAATTTATTGAAAATTGAATCTACATTTTCGAGCTTTCAATAAATTTTATACTAATTACAAAATAATTGGATGCTTGGACGCATCACAACATTAACCATAATAACAAAACATGTATTAATCTCAAATACGTATCTGATAATCTAATAGACTTTAAATTACTTTAAATCGGTTTAGTTTGTTTCCAGAATAAATTTAAATAATGTAATGTAGTTGAGCTTCAAAAATGCTCGGTTTGTTTTACGTCCTATTCCTCACAGGGGCTTTAACAAATTGCCAAAGTAAGTAATGTCTATTTAAAACTTGTTATTTATTTTTTCACTCATTTCAAATGAACATATTTTCCAGCTTTTCCTGTAACTAACAATAATAATATCGACACATCAACAACATCATCCAACGAAGAAAATACCGAAAAGACTATACAGGATGAGGAAACTACAACACCTCAAAATACTAATACAGATTTTACTAGCGAGTCATATGATTTGTCAGGAAATGAAACGGAAATTCCAGGAACAACAATAATTAAAAGTACTGAAAATGAGGATGAAATTACCACGGAATCCTTTATTGAAAATTCAACAGAAAAATACACAGGTGAAGCTCAAGATCAAACAAGTAATTTCGAAACTACAAAAGCAACAACAAATATTGAATCATCAACAAATCCCTTACCAACTATAACCATTAATCTTCCAACAATAACTACCATTACAACAAAAAAGGATCTGTGCGAAGAAAATGAAGTCTATTCGTGCTTACCATGGTGTCCGAGAACTTGCAATAATCCTTTATCAAAACTAGTTTGCCGACCAAGTCGAAATAGCTTATGTCGTAGAGGATGTACTTGCAAAAATGGGTTTCTATATGAAAACACAATTCGAAAATGCGTTAAACAATGTCCTGTAATGCAATTATTATAAAATTAAATTAAGGGGCAAAGAGTAAATACGAAGTTCTGTTTTAGCCCTCCACTTTGCCGCTTTTTAAAAACATCAATAATTAGATTTCATTTTCAGAATTCCGCTCGACCTGTAAATTAATTTGAAAAATTCCCCTAGCTGAAATTTTGCGGTCGTTGAAAATTGTATCAGAAAATGCAATGCGGCTTGCCTCTTCCATTATTTGCAGAAAACAGGAAAAGAATTGAAAATAAGTAAAACGTAAAGGACTTCCGGGAGTACACTCGGGAATCGGACGGCGCTATACAAATAAAGAGTGGACGTTATTTAATGATTTGAAATGCTTTTTCTGGTCGTTATTTTTAACTTGAAAAAGAAGCTAAAACATTTTCAATGTCTGCAGCCTTCTCTCGAGTTTACCACAGCTGCCGGTCGAGTTTAGGTTTAAAGGTCACGTCCTAACATGGAAAAGGTGTTTTTCTTTGGCTGCGAATGACATAAACCTCATTTTTGCTACACTATGGAAAAGGAGGCTGTCTCCTTAATAAGAATATATTATAGTAAATGAGGGTGTGCTTATACGATTTTATAGGACTAAGGTTTCCTCGACCAGAATGTATTGTGATCGGTAAAACAGATTTTTCATATAATAAACGTGCTTTTCAAACGGTTAATAACTATATTACTGCGTTGATTACTGATATTACTTTTGAATTTAAGTAACTATTATAAATGCAACTCACAAATATTTGGTTCTAGGGCGTTACAAGACATGGGTGGTGATCGGTTTTCGAGTTGCAATCATTTTTAGTTAGTTATTCAATAAAATTTAAAAGTGTTACATATTAAAATTCTCTTGCCTCTTTGCCCTATCGCCATTTCTTATGTTTTTTAACGTTGCTGTTAGGTGAATCTTAACCAGTTTACAAGTTTTGACTGATCGCTGGAATAAATCTTCTCGTGAATCTATCTATGGATCTTATCGACATTTAGCACAACAGCTCTAGTTTTCTTCTTCCAGTCAAATACAAAGGCACATTCCTGCTTTGAATTCGAATTATTTCTTCGACATCAGCTCTAGAACCAGTGAAAGGCTGATGGGACGGTAGTTTTGTGAGAAGTTTCTCTTTTTTCTGCTTTACTTAGCATAATGACTTCTGCATGCTTCTAGCAAGTGGTCTAATCTCAAGATTCAAGATGAAGGTGGGGATGTTGGTTGAAACCATCAGGGTATTCGTTGGGATCTGTTTGATCATTTTATAAGATATTGTGTCTGAGCCAGCCGCTTGCCTGATATAATATTGTCGTATCTAGAAGGAAAGGGCATATCCCATTTTTCCATAAGGTTCATCAGTTTCAGGAAAATCATTGGTCGCTTCACGTTTGATAAAAATCGTTTGCACAAATCTATACATCAATGTGAGGATAAGCAATGTGAAATGTTGAAGGTTTTTGGCTCTCATCCCCTCACACCTCCAAGTCAAATAGCCACGTTGGTAAGTTTTTTCCAATTACGGTATTTTTTTTTAATTCTGCTAACTCCATCAGCCAATCTTCAATCAATGAATCAAAATATACTTTGTTGACGGAAAATAAATTTCAATGACAAAGCATGATAACGTACGAATATTACAAAATTATAGGGATACTAGCTGACCCGGCGAACTTCGTACCTCTTCTGAATTATTAAATACCTATTAAATGTTGTGTTAACGTATCTATTAACTGAATTAAATTCAGGTTTTTTCGATGGTGAATTTGGCTTTGGTCGAAGAAAATTAATTTTTACTCTCTGGATCAGAAGTCACCTAAAATTAAAATTTTACATCATCCCTTTTTAGGCATCTTGTAGGCATTATTCTTGTAAAGTGTACCACCAAATAAATAAAATCAGGCACAGGAATGTTCAAAAAATGTAAAGAAAACAAAAAAAATCTCCAGCGCAGCCCTGTTTCATTTTATCTGCACTGCATGCACTGCAATACTCCATCTGTTCTACTGTATCTGCACTATTCTATCTGATCTACTCTTTCTGCACCACCATTTTAAATGGTTATAACTTTTAAACCAGGTGTGCTAGCTACCTGCGGTTTGCGCCATTCGATTTCTCTTGGTCTAAAGTTTTTTCTAGTAGGTTCGTAATTTTTTTGAAACTTATACAGGGCAAGTAAAAAAAATCCGTTTTTCAACATTGAAATTCTCCACTATTTTTAATGGAACACCCTGTATATCACAACGTCAAAAAAAAAAGAATAATGTTCAAGGTATCCATGTACGAATAGACATAGTCCCTAGAACTTGAAGTTTTAGCCGTGAAAAATCAAAATCGAAATCTTGGTATTTTTGCAAACGCATATTTACAAAGCTTGGAACATGTATATGTTAGTCATTCTGTTCCAGGCATTTATGGATCAGTGAATGGGTGAATGACTTGTGTAACATTTCCTGGGGAATCGCTTCAATGACATTACAAATGTTTCGCTTAAGATCTTTTAGGCTATTTGAGCAAGGGATTGCAGCATCTTTCCTTGACATAACTCCAGAGAAAAAAGTCTGGAACTCTCAAGTCAGGAGAGTAAGGTGTCCATTCTATAGGACCTCCATATACGTCTTTCGCCAAATGTCATATCCAGTGATTCTTATGCTATCAAAGAATAATGAGGGCATCATCCTGCTGGAAATAGATATCATCCAAGATACCCTCCTATCTTAACTGCGGAAAAAAGAACATATCAGTGCATAAAATTTCGGTTATCGTTGGTTCATTAATGGAAATGGTCTGTATTTTTTCTTAATAGAGAATGCACACCAAACTGTTACTTTTGGAATATCTCTATTTGACGAGATCCAGAGAAAATACCCATGGGTTTGCAGAAATACCAAGATTTCGATTTTGCTTTTTACCTCTAAAACTTCAAGTTTTAGGTACGAGGTCTATTGTTACATGGATACCTTGAATATTAATCTTTTTTTCGACGTTATGATACACAGGGCGTTCCATTAAAAATCGTGGAGAATTTTGATGTTGAAAAACTGATTTTTTTTTCACTTGCCCTGTATAAGTTTTAAAAAAATTTGCAACCTACTAGAAAAAACTTTAGTCCAAGAGAAATCGAATGGCGCAAACGCAGGTAGCTAGCACACCTGGTTTAAAAGTTATAACCATTTAAAATAGTTCACTTTCGGCTGGGACACCCTGTATATTCGCAGTATCAACTGACTATTCTCAATTAGACTTGATTGATTCGCAAAATTATTTTAGTATTCGGTAAATTAAGTGATATTTTCGCAATTACACTTGGAAAAGGCGTAGTTGTGTTATGAATTAATAACCTAGTCCATAACACCTCTGTCGTATTATGAGTCTCCTCATGACATAACTCAAGTACTAGAAAAATGGTTATGTAAAAACGTCATAACCAAACGCTTGTAGATAAAAGTAATAAAAAATAAACATAATCATAAAAAATAGACATAAATGTTAGAGCATAATCCTAAGCAACACAGGTACCATTATTACATTAAACTATAGGTTCATATAAAAGGTACAGCCAATAGAAAATAAACATAAAGAAAGGTTGCCGGCAGAACAAAACAAAACAATAAAAGAAACAAAATTAAAATTTTCCATTAAAAAACTCATCAATAGTGAGCTTTTCCATATAAAAATGCTCTGCACCCCAATCTAAATTTTTTAAAACCTGCCTCAGGGTAAAAGGCAGGTGATTAAAAATTTGCCTACTTTTATAACTAAGTGAATTTTGCATCAATGCATTCTTGGATATAGGAAGCTGAATTTTAAGTTCTTGCCTAGTTAAATAGGTTCTTGGTTACTCATCATGATGTTTTTTGTGCATAAGGCATGCAGTTTCCTCCATAAATATACAGCACACTGTGAGTGTTTTATGTTTTAAAAATAGTGGCTTGCCAATGCTCCCAATATCCAACCTTATACAGTTAGCCCAAAATGCAATACCATACCTGATATATGATTCAACCAACGAAAAATAAAGCCACTTAGCAATATTCAAACCAAGTTCATTGGACGCGATTCTTACAGCATAGCAACCACTCACAAATCGTTTGTTCAAATTTGTTACGTGTTCATTAAATTTAAGTTGAGTATCCACATGAATACCAAGAAATTTACTTCTTGTCTTGTTTCCAATTGTGTATGTATCTAATATTAAACCCTCAAAAAGAAATTTAAATGTCGATATGTTGGTTTTCTTAAGGTAGGGTTTGTTAGGATAGTACGCGACTCACAACTGACAACGTAAACGTCGTCATTGGTTCAGGTATGACGTACACACGTTTTCTGACGCTGACGTCAGATAACGGGTGTACTCGGTGTACGTCATACCTGAACCAATGACGACGTTTACGTTGTCAGTTGTGCGTCGCGCACTGCCCTAACAAACCGTACCTTTAGAGTTGAAACAAAGCAACTTAGAGTCAGGTAGGTCTTCAGAAATATTCTTTATTTTTAACCATATATGAAATGTCATTACTGACTTTTCAAAAATTTGAAAATGTCACAATTCTGTCTTTTCATTTTCCTGGTCCATTACCTGTCCCAGGACAAGAAATGAGGACGGGAAATTTCAGGTAGTTTTTTGATGATAAAACATTAAAGAAAACAAAGTTCATACACGTCATATTTCGACAGCTGTTAGAATCAGTCCTCGAATTTGTCAATAACTTTGTTTAATGCTTAATTACCAATAACGAAAAAGAACCAGATTGGAGTCTTTTTTCTAGAATTTACATACAGGCTAAAATTTTCAAATGACATACTATAAAATATGGAAAACTGCACAATATGAGTGCTGCCGTTTCGTCAGGTCGAAATGGTTGACATTTTTCGATTTACCTTGGTCCACTTCGTAAAAATCGATATTTCGTTCATCAAAATCTTCCATAGTCACTCTGCTTTTGGATAAGATTCCAATATTTGACAGCTAACGCCGCCTCACCTGTCATATAGGTACATGATTGTGCCCATGGTAAAAAATGTTGCT